AGTAAAATTCAACGGAAAAGCCAGGCAAAAGCAGTGAAAATACAGAGGGAGAGCTTGACCTGTGTATCCGGGAGAAAAAGTTAGCCTTGATTACATCGACATTGATATAGTCCCAATAGTGACACTTTTCATATTTCTCCCAATTACATCGATCACAACTAAATCAAACACAAAGATCATGAGAATAAAGAAGGCGATATCAAGCAAAGACAACGTCTTGAGTAATTCTCCTCATTAGCTCCATAAGCCGGTTTTAATAGTAAGGCTCAGAGAGTTGTTAAAAAATACAAACATGAAAATACGAAATAAAACAGACAAAACACTGTTGTTCAGATATATATAGAGATATATAGGTAGATATATAGATAGATATATATAAAAAAATGGTTGGAGTATGTCTGGCCCCTCTAACGGCAGCACTACAAGTTTAGAAAAGGATCGTACGATCAGTGAACTTGGCAAAAAATTAGACAGAGCAACCACTGAATTTGGTGCATTAGTTTTCGCCAAATGTTGTAAACTAAGCATGGTTCACCTTCACTCGGACGAGAAATAGATCTTAAAAGGTAGCTATAGCTATAAGCTCTTCCGGAACATAACTAGACTATCTATATGGGAAAGATTTCTCCTGAAAAGAGAGCAATTTTGTTATTGAAAGAGCACTAAAGTAAACAAATTTATTTCTCATCTCGTGAAAACCACATTAGCGCGTCACGAACTTGTTATCTTACAAAGTAAACATAAACTTCCGATAATTTCGACGCCGCTAAATAGCAAAGAAAGAGCAAGTCAAGAGTGCAGTTACCGTGCATAACATAGTTTGCGTCTGATATGTACCAAAATGGTTGCGCCAAGAAAAAAAGAAATGATAACAAAATATAACTTTTGCACTATGTACTTTCGAAACAAAATTTCCACATGCACATCGGCTGAACAAAGTACAATGGAGAGTCAATTCAACATTGTTCTTTCGACATTAAATAGAACGTCAGCTTAATGCAGTGAAAAAAAAAACTGCAGCTGAAACTAAAAATACCCTGACAATTCCCAGTCCTTAACAAAACAAGATAATGTAGAACAAGAAATTATCAAGTTCTTTTCTCAGTTCCAATGTATTACGTGTAACTCTTTTCAGCTGCTCAACGACAGTACGTAATCAAGACCACTAGAAATAATGAGTACTGCCAGCCAAGCTACCCGACGTCTTTTAGTAGCATACGTATTGTTTGCACCGCTTTGTACTGGAATGTTTCCAGCAAGTCATATTGATTTATTATTGAATATCAAAACCAACGACTACCAACAGCCGGAGAACTGATAAAGAAGTAACAACCTAATAATCAATCTAAGGAAGCTTTTTTAGTATTCTACACAAACCACGTAAATCTCAGTTGTGTAGTCAATCGGAGAGAGCCGGTTGAAAGGCAATCAACAGGCAGTTTCTTTCCTTGCCAAACGGTATTTCAGATAGAACTTTTTATGACTCAACAGATCTCGTCTCAAAAGAACTTCAAAAGAAAACCGTGTCCTGATTAGAACATGCCGTGTAACACGTTTTAGTCGTGAATCAAAAAGGCAAGTCTATCCAAAGAAAAGGACAAGGCAGAACACAGGCGGCCGGGGTGCCCACTGCTCGGAGCGACGAAAAAGACATGCAATTTTTCGCCAGCTGCCACAATTCCTCCATATAATTCAAGTAGAGAAGTAAGCGTTTACACTAAGTACTTTCCCAGACCAAATGCACTCAAATCGCGTTACCCAGAAAACTTTCTTTTCGAATCCCCCAAGCTTAACAAATTTCGCCAGCAGCACGGACAAACCACCATGGACACTGCCAATGTTCCGATAGCCTGCCGGGTAACAAAAATAAACCTTGCCAGAGTATCCAGAGGCAGTTATCGGCCCGGAACTCAATTTGCTCCCGGAGTCCCCTTGCAGAATCACCTGACGAGACTTCGAGATCCATTACAAATTTATCAATATGAATATCACATACAGATTTCGAGATTGTGCAAAACTTTTTCGAAGACCCACGTTTTTCAACGAACTATTCTATACCCCTAGTATAGAGTGTTTTCACTCACGTGGCTTGCATCTATGCAAATGTTTTGGAACAAAAGAAATCATTTGCATAAGAAAAGAGTTCATCTCCAACGGGACTGGTTTGGGACACCAACATGGCCGCCGTTTCATTGTTTTGGGACACCAATATGGCCGACGTGACGTCATGTGAAAACACACTATAAACAATTCGGCTTTTGTGGGCCTGAACAAAAACTTGACGAAGGGACGATAACTGCCGCTGGATACTCTGGCAAGGTTCATTTTTGTTACCCAGCAGGCTATCGGAACACTGGCAGTGTCCATGGCAATTTCTCCGTGCTGCTGGCGAAGTTTGTAAAGCGTGGGCGATTCGAAAGGAAAGTTTTCTGGGGAACGCGATTTGGCTGCATTTGGTCTGGGAAAGCACTTAGAGGAAACGCTTACTTCTCTTCTTTAATTGCGTTTGACGAAGGAGAACGCTTCCTATTCGTTTACCGTACACGAATTAGTAACCGTTCTGTATGCCACGCGATTTCAGGGTTTGGACGCCATCTTGGACCGGCCTGGCACACTTTGCCTCGATCTCATGTGTTCAGTTTTTCTCGCCCGGGAGCTGGTATCTATTTTGTGACACTCGTTCACAGATGAAACTTTGGCGATTTTCTGTTTACCACAGGTTTGTTTATGGTTTTTCTCGCAGTTTTCAATTAAGTTTTTTATCGTACGAAAATTTCCATTCTAAGATGATCTGATATGTAGATATTATGTTAACAATGTGTTTTACACACTGTATTTGTTTTTATGGATTCATGCAAGATCAGCTTAGATTGACCATATTTGATTTTATTACAAATAACATTTCGCTTTTAAAAGCTATTTACAGCGTTGTATTTGCTTTTGTTTCTCACCATTTTTTAAAAATATACAAGAAGTTGAACAGTGAAACGTTGACCTTTTCAACTCACTAATTCTGGGGTGCGTTGTATTTTGAAAACAGTGCTAAGTAGGTGAGTCGTGTTAGCCTAGTGTCACACAACAAGGGTTTAAACTTTTCAGATAACTGTAATTTTCTGTATCCCAATTTTTAGCCAATTTTATTGATCATCCCATAGTGCAAAAGAATATCCTGAGGGTCATAGTCGGTGTTTGACCTGTTGTTACTTACAAGTACTTTACTTAGAGGTTTAGCCAAGTATAAAATGTAAAACGTACAGTACGCTCTTGCGTTTTTGAAGAAAAATGAACTAGTAACGAATTGTAAAGTGGGAGGACAAACAATAACACTGATAAAGACAGCTGCTGATATTCATATTGATAAAAGTGTTTGATTTACATTTCCCGATATTACAAGTCCATCAGGTTTTCCACCCCCTTCCCACTACCACTCACTACCCACCACCCTCCCCCTCCCCATCAAACGTACTCCCCTAATTTGCAATTATTACAAGTTATATGGGGAAATTGTGACAGCTGGAGAATTCTACATGTCTTTTTCGTCGCTCCGAGCAGTGGGCACCCCGGCCGCCTGTGTTCTGCCTTGGCCGCCTGCGGGTGAACAACAACCTTTCTGTGTTTTCTTTCGGGAAACAGTTTTATTCGGTGAGAAGAAAGGATAACGGGAGCAAGGCCTTGTGATTGGTTCAATGAAGTGACTGTCCCAGGCACTTTAATAGCTTTGGTCATGTGACCCTGAAGACAATAACATGAAAGCCTCTCTATAGAGACTGGATCACAACGGTAAACCTACAGCACAACCTTAATTACGGACTGGGTGTAGCGAAAGGAGGTACAAACAAATGACTGAATAGTGAAACCGGGGGGGGGGGAGAGACGAGGTCTGGGACCGAGAAACGATGTTCTCACAACTTACAAAGCGGTCACCCCGCGTGGTGGTCAGCGGATAATTGCAGTATTTTTCCCACAGTAACTGAGTAAGACTTTTTAGAAGTAAGAAGCGAATCGGCTGAGGAAATCAGAAATGCTTAAAAAATTGAAAAACATAATATCATGCATCTTTGTTTTTCTTGCATATCGTATTTGTCTTTCGGTACTGAAATTGCGGGGGAAACCGTGTTAGATCTTAACCAACAACAATGCGCTCGATCGATTTATAGGTTACATCGTTTTTGCCGGGTAAGGATAACTTGATGCTGATAAAATTACTAGAGAAAGTGTCAAATTTATCGGAAGCAAGTATATTCAGAGAGCTTTATAAATATGAGCTTACAGTTCTGCAATTATAACTGAATAAACATTCACACTTCATAACATTTCACTTCGTTTATTACGATCAGTCAACACCTTGAATCCAAAGTTAAAATTCAAAACGATCCTAATAAACAAATCACAACTACTACTGAAAGCTCTGTACCTTGAGGCGACTTTAACTTTCCTAAGGTTTGCAGCAAAATACTGCTCGATAGCTCAACTCTTCGGCGGTTCTTATCAGCTGTACGGAGCTATATGTTGCATATTCCAAACTCTGCAGAGGGAAATTGTTTAACAGAAAAAGAAAACCACACACTGTCTGAAAACCGACATAAACTCAATAAATTTGCGAATGACCAAAATATGATAGTGAGAAACAGTCCCGCCTTCGACCACCATGTTTTTGTTTCTTCTCAAGACCGTTGATCAATGGATTTTGACGTAATGCGTATGATCAGTACACAAATCCGCTGGCAAGACCCTTGCTGATCGCTTTGCAAGTTGTGAGAACATAGTTTGGATTTCATTGAAGAGAATGTATGGGAAGTAGCTTCCCCCCCCCCCCCCTGAGTGAAACATACCAATACCTTAATAAACTTTCTGGAAACAAGAAGCTGAGATGGATTTTGACACCTTATAGAAGACGTACTTTAGAAAGACGTTCGAAAATTATTCAAATTTAATATGCACAAAATTAATACATCACAGTACATATATTATTTCAGTTATCGCACTTGTGTACAAACTGATCAACTGGCATCGATACTTATATCAGCCGATTTCTCAGAAGTCTTTTCCACCAAATGAATATGCAGCGAGCCATCCCTGGTAAGGAAACAAAATCAATGTTAGGATTCAACTAACCCCATATACAGTCGAACCTCTCTAATACGGACACCGAAGGGACAGAGCAAAGTGTCCGTATAAGAGAGGTGTCCGTTGTATAGAGGTCATGAATATTACGTCACTTTAAAGGCTCCATTGATGGTATTAAGTGTTCTTTAAGTCAAAATTGGCCCAAACGGCAAATATGGCAAACTATAATACAGTTTCCGAAGAGTAACATAACAGAACAGTAACAAGTGTAGCGAACACTAACATACAGTAGAGTATTTAATGAAAGTTCTTTGTTATTGATTCATTTTGCGTTAAAGAAGTCTGTAGATCCCATGTGAATATATTTTCACTGGACCGCACAAACTCATTGAGCGTTTGGAGAAGTGCTTGGATCTTACAGAAAACCCAGCTGTCCGTAAAGATAGTCTTTCAAGTGAAAATGTCGAAAAGAAAAGAGGAAGAAAAAGGAAAGCAACAACTGGAGAGTCTTCAAAGAATAAGAAATCTTGATGATAAATGGCAATGACATGTCGATAGTATAATTTTTACAGATTGAAAACATGATACTGTTATCGTATGAACAATGAGACAATTGATTACACTCTGATATGTAACGACAAACAGGAAATCGTGTTGAATCGTGTCATCATTGGAGTGTCCGTAATAAAGAGGTTCAGTTTGTATGAATTTTCTCTTTGGGGCCGAGATTTCGTGTCCGTTGTCCGTATTATAGAGGTTATTTTTACAAAGAATGTATGGGCATTTTCCCGGGACCAAGTGAACTGTCCGTATTAGAGAGGTGTCCGTATTAGAGAGGTTCGACTAAAAACCCGCGAGTAAGACCTGTCTTTTCCCAAGTTAGCCTAAGCAGGTTCTTACATAAAAAGTCAATTAGCACAAATTTAGGCTACTTAGGTTTTTAAATAGGTTCTTATTTTCTGGAGAAAAAAATGCATTGTAGCTAAGAGTATTTAGTGATATTTCAAGCATATATTCCTTATATAAAATCCGCACACATTACATTGCAGTTCGAGTGGGTAGGCACTTATGTCTCCAAAGAGGATCCTGATTGTTGACTTAGTTAAATATCTTATTTGCCCAAGTGTAGAGATTGTTTTTCACAGATTTTGACAAATAAAACCTGTTTCAAGTTTAGGCTTAACAGGTTCTTCTATAGACGGGGCCTAACTGGCAAATTTAAGGCTAACACGTTCTAAAAAACCAGGTTCTTACTCGCGGTTTTACTGTATTATCAGCTGGAAGTTGTAAGGACGATATCGGGCAATTCATCAAGTTGTGAATTAACACAAGTAAACTTTGCGTAATCTCTATAACGAGCAGCAAAATTCAATGGCCTAGGATAAAATGTCTCCAACAAAGCCGATTTTAGCCGCTGCGACCCTGGGCATCTTAACCGAGATTTGACAATGAGATGTACTCTCTCTCGCTGACATTTTCAACCAAGCGCTGCTTAAGTTAATAATTCAAACTCGCCTTCTTATATGAAATGTTCCCACAATGATTGCTTCTCCTTTAGCCATCGGTGGAATGTCGGCAAGAACGACCTGACGTTACAAAAATAGGGCCGGGATCAATAAATGCTATTTGCGTACAACGGCTTACAGTGTAAGGTGGCTGCTAAAATACCTTGAGTCTGGCTTTTAATTCAAGCTAGCTACTTCCAAGTAGCTTTAACTTTTGTCCTGCACACATGATCTAGCTGAAAAGGGAGGTCGAAATTCCACTTTTTTTTCTTTCAAGTTCAGTTCTTCTGGCTCATAAATCCAAAGAAAATGCTGGAGCTTCAGTAATCAGTTGCAGGGCCTTTGTCGCAGGACCGTTTTGTTGAAAAATGTTTCTGACGGGGACTAGCTGAAGCCTTTCAACAAACCAATACAACTTCTTTGACTCAGAACTTTTATTCACTTGCTGCTTGTGAGTTACAACTTTCTCTCTATTCTCTCTGTTCCCGTTTTTATATCAACCGAACAACCAGCTGCTTAAAATAAACTAATGCTGTGGCAAGTCTAATCTGATTGGTTACAGTGGACTAATTTGCATTAGACCTTCGCGATGTGTACTTTGTCAAAGTGATTTTAACTTTTGACTTTTCTCTATGAAGTTGTGGTTGTCCAGTCAGTATAAAATAAGGACAGCAATATAAAAACTATAAAGAACTCATTTTGACATGAATTTTTGACAATAACAAGACAAAGGATTAAAATTACAGTTCAGCAGTTTCTTAGTTGTTGTTGAGAATTCAAGAGGTGTTAAGATTCTTGTCGAAAATGATTGGTTACACGTTTCCATAAATTAAGTGATGATGTGTTCGCAAAACCGGGCATCCTAATTAGAAGTACAGTACGTGGTCAAAAGTAGAAATTATAACAATAAAAGTTTACTCAGCAAGCACCTAGAAAAATAGGAGATATCTCGCCCTTTTTAGTTTGAATATATTTTATTTTACGTAGAAACTATCGACTGACATGAATTCGGTTGAGAGTGCGAGAAAATAACTCTAAAAATGGTTAAAAAATAAAGACGCTAGTCTTTACCTGGAAAAGACTGATAAAAGGTGAAGTTGAGGACAAAAATGTCAAATTGTGTAATTCTTAGTGTAATAAGGCTTTATTCCTTTTGGGGAGCTGAATTGAACATTCTTTTACGATAAAAGGGTTGTCGTGGAAGTCGCGAAAGTGTACCAAAATAGAACATATTTGTTTAAGAACGAATTCATGAAAGGAAAAGGTTTATGTTGATGAATATTTTATACATCGAACTTGTAAAGGTATTCTAAACAACTAATACAGAGTGTCCCAAAAGTTCGTTCCTCTACTTTATAAGTCTGTATTTCAGTACGATTGGACTTGGTAAGCAAATCATTGAAACAAAATTTGTTTTTCAATCTAATTCACCATTTTCATACTTGTTGTGCCAATTTTTTGACTAGACTATTCGATTTGTGCACTTCCACGTCAAAGGTGCGCGTGCGCGAGTACATTTTCCAGCCACATATTTTTGGTATTCTATAGCCCGAATTGCTCGAACTCCTTCCTTGTTTTTTGTGAATATCACGAAAGATAAATGTCCTTAACGCAAAATGGAATGGAATCACCGACAAACAAAAGCCTTCTTTAAGGCAAAGATCACCTAAGAATTCAAGCAAAATAGCGTAACGCTTGTTGCTTCTAAAACCTGTGCTTCTAGTTGACACAACATTAATTCATTCCCTGTTTGCATACGAAGACAAATGGTCGAACAGATTCGTCCAAATAACTGAATAAACCTCAATAGATACTCCTCAATGTCGCTTTAACAATTCGAGGACAGTTTTTTTGCAGTGGTTATAAGGTTCTTTGGCTTATTCGCTTTTCGCTGAACGAAATCCCATCGTCAGGCTGCAATAACTCTTTCACACTCCTGTTGATTGCATCTTTTCCATATCAAGTACAATATCGGGAACAAATGTGCACAATTGGTCCAAATATACAGCAATGATCCACGCTCAATCATTTCAATGTCCTTTTAACAATTCTAAGTCCATTTCTTGCGGAGGATATTGTCAGTGTTATTTAAAATATTGTTATTTATAAAAAACCCATCTCTATAATTGATGTGTCGGGAAAAAATATTCGCCTTACTAGTACCCTCTAGGATATTCCAAACATATACGTAAAAGGCACTTGGAAAAAAAGTAATACTAAGTAAGGGCGGTAGGAGTAACGTGTTTAATCTGACTTTAATGAATAAATTAATGAGAATCGAGTGAGTGAGTGAGTGAGTGAGTGAGTGAGTGAGTGAGTGAGTGAGTGAGTGAGAGTGAGTGAGTGAGTGAGTGAGTGAGTGAGTGAGTGAGTGAGTGAGTGAGTGAGAGTGAGAGTGAGAGTGAGAGTGAGAGTGAGAGTGAGAGTGAGTGAGTGAGTGAGTGAGTGAGTGAGTGATCGAGTGCCATTCGAGTGCCTCCAAAAGCCCATGGCATGACTACGTCATCCATGAGCTAATAAAAAAGGAGACTCAGCGAGAAAGCTCTCACATTAGTTAACAAGCCAAATCCAGAAAAGGTCATGAAAAGCTGTTTAAAATGTTTAAAATTAGAGGCCTCTAAGTTGGTTAAAAAAACCTCTGCTTAGTCTGCCAAGTAACGCCCAGCACGTCTCAAATTTGTAGAGAAGTACAAAATCTTGCTGTGGAAGGAGGCCGGGATGGTTATCTTGTTTGGGTGAATGCCCAAAATCTATATTTTTTTTTTCAGCTGCCTAAACTAAACAAATATTGTTTGGGGGTTGAACTGGCCCTTGCGCACCAGGTGATAGAAAAGCTCAAAATGGATCATCCGTGGGTCTACAAGCTGTATCCCACTTCATGCAGCAACGGCTACCGAATGTGATAAAAAAAAGAAACAACAACAACAACAAATTTTATAGAAAATTGGAAAATAACTAATTACATTACTTTCCCACCCGCAAATAGCTTATAGACTAATCAAGGCGGGGGGAGTTGAAGACATATTACAAAACAAGATTTATATATAGATGGACTAAATAACAGTGAAGACACCAATATACTGTAAATAGAATTTGAACTAACATAAAAACATAGGCACGTTTTACGTGCATGAGCTATTTTGAATGCTTCAGTGTAACAGTATCTACTGTTTTAATCTTAAATTAAGGCTCTGTTTCGTGCGAAATTGGGTATTGCTGTACATTAATCATCTGGTGCAAAATAAACAAATCGTTAAAGTACCATGAATATCAACTCACCAAACGCTGCTTAGAGGGAAGACTCGAAGGTTTCAAGGTTTCTTCATGGTTTCTTAAAATAATGAAGGTCGTCGAATACCGAATAGCTAAGACTTTCATCATTGTTATAGATGGTTGCATCATCACTATTCACGAGGTTATCACGTGCGACTCTACTTTAATGAAACAGTCTTTAACTCTGACCACTTAATTCTAAGAGTGTTATGAGTTTTTGCCTCTTAAAAGAAAAGAGCCTAGTTTGCTTAGGCACTAGTTACAAAACTAAAGATGTCTTCATACGTTCAAGTTATTATTATTATCACTGTGAAAAGCCAGCATGGGATGTAGAATCATGCAGTTTGCACGTGAATGAAGTGTCGGACTTTGTCCCTTTTGTGGTTCGTACGTAAGGGAATTCGAGTTATCACACAGTAATCCAGTAAACAGAATTACAAAAATAACTCATGCACACAATTTGCACGTGAAGATGTTGGACTTTGTTCCTTTTACAATTCGTACCTAAAACAACTCAAATTGTTTACAAGAAAACTTCCTAAAACGATTTTAAAAAATCACCTCGGCTTTACAATACCTGTATCTGCAATTAAATTACGCTTCAAGCAACGTACGTTAAGGTTGATGGTCTAACATTCATTTCCTTCCGAGAAAATTATCAAACTGCAGAAAAATATCTCTACTCATATGAGGCAGGTGAACTGACAGAACTCATAAATACGTGCGTTGTACCGTTCGGTCAGAAATGTCTTGAAGCAGCATTCCCACTAAAATATGAACCCTTAAAAAGCTGCATCACATTACACAGCGTTTGAATCATGAAGATATGTAATGTAATGCTTCTAAACACCTGTAGCCGTAATAAAAGACGAAAAAATTGTGAAGAATCAACATGGCGGTCTCAAAGTGCCCTTGTTCGACCTTTAGCAATGTCATGTTTAAATAGATGCCAACATCTCATTGGTTCCTGAGCATCACCTCATAGTACCTTCAACCTTATTGGCTCTTGCAACAAACATCCGAACATACAAAGATACAAAGACACACAGCCACAAAGATACATACCCTCACACCACTGACATAGGAGCTATTTTTTCAAAATAGCTCAACAAGGCAAGTACATAACGATTACGAAGAGAGGCTAACCTAAAGTATTAAATAACTTATCTGACCGCAAGAAATTTAGTAATAATTCCTTTATTTTTTTACGAAAGGACAAACGTTTAAGTATTTTAATCGAATAAGGAATAGAGTTCCAAATCTGGGCACCGATTCTCGTGAAAAAGGCATACATTTTATCGGTTCTAGAGAACTTAACATAAAACGAGTCGCTAGAGACAGATCTTGTTCTGTAGTTATGAATCTGACTTGTTTTAACGACCTGATTAAGTATACTAACTGGTGCTGTCTGTCTGTTGATATCATACAGTAAATAGCCGGAATAGCTAAAATCTCTGAAAAACAGGCTAGGCAGGAGAAGGCAATTCAAGGCTCAAAATAACGGACAGCAGGTCGCCGGTCATGATGACCGGCCAAATATTTTTCAGCCCGGACAAACCCCGATTTTGGCCGGTCAAATTAATGAATATTATATTTTTTTTTTGCCCGATGGAATATCGAATTACGCTGGCAGTAGATCGTTGTGCGGCATTGTCGTTTAGGTTTTAGCCTGTGCCAGGCTCTCAGATAATATAGTGCGGACGTATTAAAACGAGCAAAGCGAAAATAAGACGCGCGCGACTTGAGAAAGGGCGCGGTGGCGTTTTTCGCATTTCTTTTTACTGAACGACTTTTCACCACTATCTCGGAACCTGGAACAGGCTATTCAGGTTTTTGCCGGCAAGTTGGTGAAAAATTCATTCACACGTTGTTGGGTTCCTTTCCTCGATTTTCGCCCGTTTTCATGTTCGTTTATATATACCTTGAGAATCATCGTACGGCGGTGTCGGAAGTCTCCAAGGTTCGTCCTATATCTACATATCGGTCAAACTTGATCCTTTTCGTTGCCCGGCACGTGATCGAAACTCTCCTCCACAAAGAAGAATTTCGTCGCTAAATATTTCCGGCAAAGAGGTGGATTTGGCGAGAAATTTGTTCCACAAACAGCCTATTCGTCATCAGAAGTCAATAAATATACAGCAGAGCTTTCGTTTGGGTCGTCGCGCAACACTTTATATCGCGAACGGCTTATCAAGAAGGAGGATTTTAAGCGCCGAGATAGGCGACGTTCGTTCTCGATTAGCTTAGTTTTTATCAGACAATTCTGGAGTCGAGTCCGCAAACGAGATCATGTTCGACATAAAGAAATGATTATAATTAATCGATGCGCTGAAATTTATTCCCGGAGAAACAGTACAGGACGAGCGATTGATCAGCCCGAATTCCGTCGAAGGTGATTTTCACAATCCTCTTACAAGTAGATGTGAAACGTTTGATGGACAAAAACTGTCAGTCACCCTTTAGTTTTCTAAAAAATAACGGATTATCGTTAGCGTATGTTTTCTTAATACTGATCACAGCAAAGCAGAACGTTTTTCTTTAAAGGGTTTAGTGCAAAGCAGCAAAAAAAGCCAAAGAAAGAAGCGAATTACAGCGTTATAGAGCAAAACGCATTAAGCGACAACTATATGGAAAATATTATAAAATGTTCGCATCCAAAAATGACCGGTCAAAATGACCGGCCAGACGAGAGTTTGACCGGTCAAGCCCACGATCAGGCCGGACATTGTCCGTTGACCGGCCGTTATTTTGAGCCCTGTCAATTTGATTTGAGAAAGAAGGGTACGGTGTGTTCTTACACTAAGGCCCGTTTTTGTAGAGTTACGATCTTTCTTTGAAATGTCAAGGCACAGTTCCCCAACCACAAATACCATAAGTCAAGTAAGGGACAATCAATGAGTTGTAAACTGAAAGTAAAACACGACGCGGGACATAATGTCGAATCTTAGCTATAATTCCTATCGACTTTCTGATTTTGTGACAGATAGATTCGATGTGGTATTTCCATGAAAGATTTGAATCAATCATTAAGCCAAGATATTTTACATAATCTTTAATTTCAAGGTTTGCGTAGGTGTTAGTCACGGAGTCAAGAATTCTTATCCTAGGTATGAGCGTATGAATGGCATGCCAGTAACTGAAATTCTGAATACATGTACTCAATAGAGAAATAAACATCTTCCAGCAATTTCATGCAAAAATGAAGTTTTGATCAAAAGTTGTGGTGCATGAATTTAAAGGAACGAACTTTTGGGACGCTCTGTAATAGGTGAGTATTCGTGATATATACCTGACATAACATCCGGCAACGGGGAACTGTTAAAAAAAGGCTTTATAATCAACGGCAATCAGAAGAAGCGTCTGCTCATTTCAATTCCTACCCACCTTGGCCAGAAGAGTCTTTCCACGGTCACAAGAGTCGTCCTCGTCCACTTCATACACGCATAAACAAACAGTCTCCTGTACATGTGAGATACGATTAAAACACACATGTCACAAAATAAACACAGAGACTAACTGAAAAGCAGCAATGAACTTAACAGTAACATGCAGTCAACACTGTTTTAATGCTCTTTTCCCGGCTATCCCCCAAAAGCTTGCTTACTGGTACATTCTTCCAGCATGTTAAGTAAATTTTTAAAAGTTAGAGTACAATGCAAGATTCTGTAATTTGATCGTATTCACTCAATTCTTTGAAGGATCCCGCTGCTGAAGTCCTCAATATAACGGCCGGTCAACGGACAATGTCTGGCCAAGATGGCCAATTGTCCGCATAAACTTTCGGTTTGCTGGTAATTTTGACCGGACGATTACACCGCAAATGGATTTGAATGTATTTATTCTAAGTTCTAAGTTTCATAAGGGTCTGGAAGTCAGCATTCCCGCTCCTTTTTCACGAAAATCCCGCATCCCGCACTTTTTTTCATCGCTTTCCCGAATCCCGTTTGTTATTTCCAAAATTCATAAGTTAAAAAAGTCTTATTGCTACAAGGTTAATAAGTGTAAGATGGAGATAGGCCCTTTCGATTGATATTTTTAATTATAACTAAGTATGACGAAGCGGAGGAGAAAAAGCAGAAGACATCAAGAAGGAGAGAGAGGAGGTTTTCTTTCCACTCTCCCCCAACGCCCATTCAATCGCTGTTTTTTCCTTCTCACTTTTCTTTGCGTCTTCCCCGCCATCTGAATGCCTGGAGTAGGTTATTCTGGCTCATGTGACCGCAAGAAAGACTGAATAGCAAAACTATGACTGTCTGATTCAAGGGAGCCGGCAGAGCTGAGCTGATCACTGACTATTCGCCATTTCGGGCCATATCTCAAGTTTAACTGACGACACCAAGAAAATTATTTCTTCAAGATTTACAATAAATGGAAAAAGCTTCAGCAATTACTGGTACGCTAGAATCGCGTGCACTTTCCTGGCATCCGGTTGCAACCGAGTCGAGTCTTCTGTCCGCTCATCTGTTGATTATTTGAAAGCTTAAGTCAATTTACAGTTTGATTTGATAGGAGAAACCACTGAACGCTCGCCCAGTTGATCCGTATTTGCCACTAAAACGTACGATTTCCCGATTCCGAAAGACAGGCCAAAATATCCTGCATCCCGTCCCCAAATTTTGGTGAATCCTGATAAATCACGATATTTTACGATTACAGAGTTCAATACACCATTTGCTGTTCATTACAAGAAAATACGCCATCATTTGAGTGAAACGGCGACCAACAGTACGAAGATTCATTCATTAGCGCGAAAATATGAACATTTGCGCATAAATCAGAATCAATAACGATTTTTGCATTTTAATCAACATTCAATAGGTGGTTTTCATGTTACGTCATCGCCGCCATGCTGGTGAACGGTAAACAAAAGATCGCTCATTAGCTTGCTTTGTTTGTCCACCAACATTTGTTCATTTCACAATTGTTATTTGTGTCTCCCGAGATTGCATGAAAACCACCTATAACACTTTTGGGCATTCATATGCGTCATTCGGCATACAAAGAGAAAAATATACTTTCATCAACGCCAACATCAAAGTCATTAACACCATCTTGAAAGTCAATAGGGACAACTGGCATACATTAAAGTGTAAACTCTATTCATTAACATTTTTATGACACTGTTTGTAATTCAATAGCATTCCTGGACAACCTTAGGATGGATAAGACACTTGTACAATCAATTGAACGTTCTTTACATTTAATACACAAAAGCGATTTTCAATTGAACAATAGAAATTCAAACAAATCATTTTGGCCTGAATTTCAGTCTATTATATCCCTCAATAACCTCTCTATGTAAACATTTTGGCAGACAGGTTTATAAAATGGTAGCCCTTGCACATTTAGCTGTGGTCACAAAGTCAATGTTTCTGCTGAGAGCTTCAAGCACTACAGTTGTTGTGTTCGAACTCCTTTCGTGGGATTCCTAGGCCTTGGCCCTAATTATGACCATAAATTTCCGGACGGAAAATGTCCGCCTTGATTCAGTGCTTTCAGACGGCTTTTATACCTGTTCCATGACGTCGAGGGGTGTGTGTGTGTGTGTGTGTGTGTGGGGGGGGGGGGGGCATAAGCTTTGTACGTATAGGGCGAGGGGAGTGGCCGAATCTCCATGGGCTGGCACTCCGTCATACGCAAAGATCACCCACTTGTTGGGACCCATATTGTCCTTGCCCGTACCAGGAAGAAACCGAAACGCGCAGCTTTCAATACACCAAAAGCTTGATAGTAAAACCACTCGCCTTCCACTTGAGTTTTGAACATCTTATGGCGTCATTTCTATGGTCTATAAGAGTGTAGACCATGAAAAATTGTGGTCGATTGGTTTTTTACAATAACATTTATTTTTTTTAACAAAAACCAAAAAAAAAACAGGTACTGCGCGACACGTTACGCGCGCGAGAATTCGCTCAGTTATTGTAAAAATTCTTAAGTCACGGTAGGGTAGAAAAAAAATTCAAACTTGTTTTACATAAACATGTAACGTGCATACGTTGGTGTGGCTTAGAGTCTCAAGCTAGAACATGAACGGACAAATAAAAGCAAACAAACCTGTTTATCTAAAGAAGTTGTGAAATTATGTGTTCTTCTCAAAGGAATGGGTGTGTACTTGGGGATAATTTGACGCATAGGTAAGTTTGCTTCTTCTAACTGTAAAAGAGAACGAAAAAGAAATTAAAATTACGTTGCCTTACTATGTCTACTAAGAACGAGCGAATGACTTTTGATCTTTTTTATTTTACCACAGAAATGAAATTATCGCACCATGATATTTATAAACTGGTCGTTATGTTGACATTTTTCGATATCCTGTGTCAAGAGTTAAAAGAGAAAGAATCGCGACAAAGTTCTTTTCTGTAGATGCCTTGTGAGAGTCTCTTTTCTGACACATTTCAACTTTATCCACGGAATCAAACGTCAATATCTGCTTCATCAGAATCAGAGTTTGAGAGCAAAATTTTTGTCCTCTTTGCTGCAAACGCCTCTCCTCAACATAACAAAACTCACTGAAATTGTATTAATCACTGAGAATCACATATATTACTGACTTTTACATCCCGCGGGGAACAAATTTTCATGAATATTGAATCAAAATCTTAAATTCTAGGAAGAAATTTTCGCAAATGTTGGTCGGTTAAATGTGTTCCTAACAAATTTGTAAGGTACGTTAGTTTCGGAATATTGCAGAGAACAGAAAGTGCAATAAAGAACCACAAATCCGAGCAAACCCTAGAGCTCTCCCGCTAGAAAACAACGCTTGTAAGGCAAGTTATCATGCAACTCTAAACTTATACGTCCTTGGCCGTTTTTATCTTTTTTTCTTGTCCCGGCTAACTCAAAGCCTGAGACAGGCTGCGGATTCGCGAAAATTTCACGCCATACGCTTTGAGATCGGTCCATGCCGCACTCACCATAACACTAATAGCTTTTGATGTGCATTCCACTTCTTCTAAGTCGTCATTTGTCCGTTCTCCTTTTCCTAGAAGAAAAGTTGCCTGGAAGAAAAACACGCAAAGATTGCCGTTCTAAACGTGTAAAAATTAATCTTAACAAGATTTTCTTTATTAATTAATCACAATTTAAAAGAAATCATGAAGCTACTTTAAAAGTACTCCAAAATGCTCACCATACAAATTCGATCTAACTGATGGAACGTGACTGATAGCGTATTTCATATCATCATTTTGAAAACTTTTCACACAAACGTTAAATTCAAAAGCTGTTAATGACTCTCTTCTTCAATGCAACTTTTCTTTAAGAGCTCGTAAACAAAATAAAAGTTAGTTTTTGTTATGATTCAGTTAGTTAGTCAGCCACAAAAAAAATATGAAATTAGACATAAATGAAATACCAATTACATGTACCTGAATAGCAGCTCCATAGGCTAGCACCCCGTCTGGGCTTATGGATTGCAGTACCTCTTTGCTCACAAAGTACTCTTGAAGCAACTGTTGGATTCTAGGAATACGCGTGGAACCACCTACCAATATGACCTTCACAGGAAAGCAAAGTCATTTGAAAAGACCCACGTTAGAACTACATTACACAAGCCACACCGGGGACTCGAAATTCATGTAACTGCTCGTTCATTTTACAGCCAATAGGTGCATATGACTACCAATTAAACTCAATTAAATCAGTCTATTAAATCAGTTTATTAAAAGGGTTGATTTCCACTATAGCGTAATTTTTACGTGTGTACTTGCGTAAAATTTATGTTTGCAAATAAAATTGAGGCAATGTGTGAAAGGTCACACGTAAGCGTAAAAGTAGAAACTCGCTCAACTTCACGTTTAATCTCAACACTTTATATCTTTCCTCTATTTTATTTAACGTGATTAAAGTTTACTTCCATGAATTAACATGCGTAGCCAAAAACGCGCCAGTGGACATCAACCGTAACCATTTGATAAAACAAAAAATCAGCAAGTGTTTATTATATATACAAACACGAGTAGGAAAAAGACATAACCTACAAAGTTCATTAGCTTAGGTTACCGCATTAAGATTAAATCTCTCAAATGACCCTAAATAACGGCCTTTCTCACTTTTCTTATAGTACTAACTAGGAGAAATTCTCTTGATTTGTAGTCGGCAACAAAAACTCAGTGAGAAAAGTTTGCAGTAAACTAAATGCCAAACGTATTGCTAATAATACCTGGTCTACATTGTCCTTGGTAATATTTGATTTGGCGAGAACTCTATCAATGGTTTTAAGAGTTTGTTGAAAAAGGCTTAAACAGAGAGATTCAAAACGTGCTCTGTAAAAAGATCAAACAGAAGGAATTAGGAAGTATTTACACATACAAGTAAGTATACAATAATGTTAACAACTGTTTGAAGTCGGAAATTTCCGTCAAATTGACTTATACCTTTGTATTTAGCCCAAATAAGAAAAATAAATACACACGTACCCCCCCCCCCCCCCACCAGACACACACACACACACATGAGTACTGGTCGCCTGCACAGTTGAGCCTTTCAAAACGTTGTCAAGGACAGTTGTAGGGAGAGACTACATACACACAGTAACAAAAGGTATAGTTTATATTAAAGTTCATCAGTTTTGTTTGCTGATGAAAATAAAAAAGCCTTCCGGTGTATTGAGATTGCTGCACACATACAAAAGAACTAAAATGATACAAAGGAGGGTCTATCGCCACGGGCCGTCACCCAGAACAAACGCCACTACCTGCCTAAGAACCATCCCGCTTATTGCCTAAAGAGGATGTATGTCCTCCAGTGACAGTTTACTCAGGCAGTCTAACACTTCAGCTGTACCTTGTCACTTTGCTGTTTAAGTCAATGCCGTCATAAAGAGATTCAATGGCACATGTTGCTGTATCTCTGGATGAAAGAACATGTTTACAAGATTCAGCACCTGCCAAAAGCTTAGCCATTGCTCTGCCGTTTCCCGTAATATCTTGCTTCCATTGCCTGAAATCACACACAGATACAAAGAATGTACCGCTCAGAAGGAACATTTGAAATACTGCGATCCCTGCGTGAAAATCTGACCGATGAGTGACCAGTATTCATACCCCTTTATATGAAATGCAATCAAAATGTTTATCACGTAAAAACACTGTAAAGAAGTGCAAACGAATATGTCGCTGGAGGACATAGGATCAACAGAAGATCTGATCAGCAGAAATATATACCAAGTGAATCAAGTAAGGGAATTGCTGATCTAAGTTTAATTACATGTAATAACATACCGGTAGATGTAACACACCACATACAAGATATTTCACAATCCATGGACCTCGGCATAACTCACAATGGCTGTTTTCATTTTAAAAAAATTGAACACTGTCTTCTGAAAAAAGATGGAGTATCCAAGTGGTTTTGAATGTCAATCTGTCTTGTTTGTCAGGTCAATGGTTTGTTGTCACTGACCAATTTTTTTTTTTCACCATTGCCACTTTGTTTGCCTCAGCAATCTACAGTGTTTCTTTAGAAATTTTTAATAAAACCAAAAATTAATATGTAGATTCTCTATACATAGAATTAAGCAAAACTAGGTTATGATGCTAACAGTTTCAAAAGCTGTCCGCAATATTAACATCTCACAACCGATATCATAATAGGTGTTGATTGCAACATTCAAGACAGCAAATGCACTGTTTTCAGTGACCTGTGCACTTGAATGTTGCATCTCAAATTATTTTGGTAATGTACAAAGAATCTAAATATTATTTTTTGAACTAACTCGATCCAGCCTAGTGAATTTCTTCAAGAGTTGATTAAAACCATGCCATATTTTGTACCTTTGAAATTCTGCAGCGAGGTGTTGGGCAAGTAACTTGTCAAACTTTACTCCACCAATAGATGTGTCATTATCAGTAGCTACAACTCTGTACATTCCCCCACTAATAGCCAACACAGTTACATCAAGTGATGTTCCTCCAAGTCTGTAAACAACTACCATCCTTGAAAGGAATGAAACCATTTATTTAAGAATGGAAGTATCTTTGTGACTTTTTTGGATTAGTACCCTGTTCGACTTTTATAGACAGGATCTTTTTGCTAATTATCATCACTTCAATAGAATCAAGCTTTTTAGGGCACAAATTCTTGTACAAAATTGACTTGACAGCATTAACTTTAAGCCTGGACAACCAATGTAGATTTAAGGGGGGAAATACTTACAGTTATAATATAACAGTAATTCCAAGAATCAAGACTGTTTCCTTGAATGTTGAAAATGAAAAGCACTGAACTTACAATAATATTTGTTGTAATTTGGATTGGATGTCATCAAAAGTTGTCACTTTTAAGAATCAAACTCCCTGTAATAAATTATATCTATATGTATAACCTATATAAAACCTTGAAACACACAATTTTTTTAAAGTCACCCTCAGCAACGAGAGGAAACACATGGAACTACATCTGGCTTGAAAGGCTAGGAAGACACTTACCTTACAACAGTCCGATCACTCTGCCCAATATCTGTTTGACAGAAAAATGCAGATGAAAGAGTAATCCATTTGGGGTGATGGCATAAACTTGAGTAATAACAATAATTATTCCATATCACAATCAACAGCAAATAACAAATGAATATTACCATAAGCTAGTGCTGCTGCAGATGGTTGACTGATGACACGGAGAACATTGAAGCCAGCATCTTCAGCTGCTTCTCTAGAAATTAAGTTTATACTCTTGGTAAAATTCTTACAAAAAAAAATATGTTCAATAACACAGAGTGTAACTCATACTTTTGGTAAATATAGAATATCATTGATAGGAACACAGGATTGCCTTATTGGTGATTAAAATGACTAACTGACTCATTGACTAGCAGACTAATTGAAATGGACCATTAAATAACTAATTGACAGAAAGTCTTAACTTTCTGAATAGAAGATAGCACACTGCTTTATTATTTATAACAGAGCTCTTGCATGAGCAGCAAGCAGCACCTTCATTACTCTAGAAAATGGAAACCTATAGATGCAAGAAAATGTGACAGTCTAAGACCATCTGTCCATCAGTTTGTCTCTCTGTCTACCCTTATGTCCACCCCCACATGTATGCCAAAATGAATAATTAACATTCGAGCACCTGCAGTTAGTCTTTGATTACATTTATTTATTTCATCAACAACTAAGTAAACTGGAAAAGGGATTGATGGATGAGGAAATGGACAAAAAAACAAAACTAACAATACATTGCTGGGATACTTCCTCAGAACAGTAACAGAATAAATAATTTTATTGTAAACAACAGCAAAAAAAGACAATAAAAAACGGAGATAAACACAACAAAACATAAGGTTTTCAACAGCCTAAACAGGTACCTGCAAATAGTTACATAGTAAATAATTATTTACACTTTGACAAACTTCACTGATTCTTACAATGTTCTGTCAGACATGATATGGAGGTCCTTATCCTGTTGGTCCATTATCATGGATAAGTATATGTCTGCTTTTTTTAATATCATGATTTTAATCTTCACGAATATTAGATTTTGTAAGTATTAAATTTTACGATTTTTCCCAAATCACAAAAATCACAAAATCTAATACTTGCAAAATTAAGTGCAAAATTTTCTACCCTGTAACAGCTCTGTAGCATCACTGGAACAGGGTTGAAAAACTAACCTGTAACAACCTTGTTACAGCTCGTCATTTGGCACAGTTAACAAGGCTGTTTCTACCCTGTAGCAGCCTTGGAACAGCCCTGTCACATTTAACTCAAAATTTCTTGGTAGACACCCTGTAACAGCCACGTTACAACCCTGTTTCCACCCTGTGATGGACATCCCTGCCACAGCTCGTGAATTGGCACAGTTAGCAAGGCTGTTTTTACACTGTGGCATTCCTTTAACAGCCTTGGTACAGGTTTCATGCATCACAACCCTGTTACAACTTGTTAATTGGCAGTTAACAAGGCTGTTTGTTTTTTTTACCAGGTGCCAATGTTGTGATACTCCCTCTCACACAATCTACACTTTAGACAGAAGCCGTTTTACTTCTATACATTAGGATTATAGTACTATCAGAACATAATTTTTTATAACTTCATATCTATTGAAGATGAAACTTAATCATTTTTAGGCGTATTTGAACTCATGAAAATTCCTGAAGCAAAGGAACGATTTGCGCCACAAAAAGCTTCAAAGTTGAACCACCAACGGCTGGTTTAGTCCGTTTAGTCACAAAGTACTTAAAACAAAAGCAATGCATTTCAGCAAACATGCATTGAAAGAACACTTTCAGTAAAGGAAAACAGTAAATACAGTCAATTAAGAACTTAACGTTACTTTATTTTTCACGTGCCCATGTTACAGTGTGTAAAAATATAAACAGAACAAAATTTGAACTGCATACAACAGTCTGATCTGGCTTGTAAATACTTGGTCATAGTTGCTTGATTTAATGTACAACTAGCACATCAAAATGCCGACTTTACAATAACTGTCTCAAAAAACAAAAAAACGATTTTTGTCAGCAATTATTTAAAGATGAAACGCGGAACTGTTCCATTGTAACAACGGTTCCGAGGTTGACTTATAGTTGTTTTGTTCGTTGTAACAAGCTTAATTTGAAATCGCTCACCTCGATCGTCTTTCCTTCATGATCCACAATGTGTTACATTTCCTCATGAAAAGAGCCAATCCATTTGTTGAGCTATTTTGAAAAAATAGCTCATATGTCAGTGGTGTGAACGTATGTATCTTTGTGGCTTTGCTGTGGCTTTGTATCTTTGTAACTTTGTATGTTCGGATGTTTGTTGCAAGAGCCAATAAGGTTGAAGGTACTATGAGTTGATGCTAAGGAACCAATGAGATCTTGGCATCTACTTAAAAATCACATTGCTAAAGGTCGAACAAGGGCACTTTAAGACCGCCATCTTGATTCTTTACAATTTTTTCGTCTTTTATTACGGCTACAGGAGTTTGGAAACATTATATTAAATATCTTCATGATTCAAACGCTGTGTACAGTGATGCAGCTGTTTAAGGGTTCATATTTTAGTGTGGATGCTATTTCAAGACATTTCTGACCGAATTCGGCTATCGCAAACGGTACCACGCACGTATTTATGAGTTGTGTTTCACCTGCTTCAAGGTAGAGTATAAACGATCATATATTTTCAAAGCTCTTCCAGTGAAGCAATAATTGATATTTAGATATGGACTTTAATTCGAAAGTATGCGGCCTATAAAATGTGGTTTTAGAAGTTTGAAAAGCAGTTAATTTTTTTTAAAGCTGTACCGAGTATTGTTAATCCTGTAAACAAGCTGTAGAAATATTATTCTCTCGCTTACAAAGTTCAACAGACCTTTTTCGTTCCGGCAAAACAACAACAAAAAGGAATAATAAGTGAACAACATGATACATCCTTCCTGAACACTAAGCATTATAGTTATTGAAACGTATTTTATTTAGTAAAGATGCGTATAAACTTAAGTAGAAACAGTAGCGTTAGGGAATAAAATTGGAAGAAGCTAGTTGACACAATAATTAGGTACTGCTTTATTGAGTGGAGTAACATGATATGAGCAGAAATATATTTCGGCAGTTTGATAATTTTCTTGGAAGTTAGTAAATGTTAGGCTATCAACCTTGACGTTGCATGAAACATAATTTAATTGCAGATGTTGTAATAAGGCCGAGGTGATTTCTTAAAATCGCTTGAGAAAATTTTGTAGTAAACAATTTGCGTTTTTTTAAAGTACGAATTGTAAAAGGGCCAAAGACCAACATCTTCACATGCAAATCGTGTGCATGAGTTATTTTTATAATTCTGTTTACTCGATTACTGTGTGATAACTCGAATTCCCTCACGTACGAACCACGGAAGGGGGCAAAGTCCAACACTTTCACGTGCCATCTGTGTGACTGTACATCTCATGCAGATTGGCTTTTCACAATAGTAATAGTGACTTGAACGTATAAAGACCTGTTTCGTTTAGTAACCAATGCCCTAAAAAAGGCTCTTGTCTTTTAAGAAGCAATAGCTTTTAAAACATGAAGAAATAAGTTGTCGCAGTATAAGACTGTCTCACAAATGTTAATAAATGTTAGGTTATCAACCTTGACGTTGCATGAAACATAATTTAATTGCAGATGTTGTAATGAAGCCGAGGTGATTTCTTAAAATCGCTTGAGAAAATTTTGTAGTAAACAATTTGCCTTTTTTTTAACGTACGAATTGTAAAAGGGCCAAAGACCAACATCTTCACGTGCAAATTGTGTGCAAGAGTTATTTTTATAATTCTGTTTACTAGTTTATTGTGCGATAACTCGAATTCCCTCACGTACGAACCACGAGAGGGGACAAAGTCCAACACTTTCACGTGCCAGCTGTGTGACTGTACATCTCATGCAGATTGGCTTTTCACAATGATAAATAGTAACTTGGACGTATGAAGACCTGTTTCGTTTTGTAACCAATGCCTTAAAAAGGCTCTTGCCTTTTAAGAATCAATAGCTTTTAAAACATGAAGAAATAAGTTGTCGGAGTGAAAGACTGTTTCACTGAGTAGAATCGCACGTGAAAACCTCGTGAATTATGATGACGCAACCATCTACCTCAATGATAAAAATCCTGGTATTTCGTAACTATTCAGTATTCGATGAGTCACATTTTGGCTTAAGAAACTCCGAGGAAACCTTAGAGTTTTCCTTCTAATCAACGTTTGGTGAGTAGAAATTTATTTTACTTTAGCAATTTGTTTAACTTGCACCAGATGTAACTGGGAAAGACAGAGGAAAGTGAATACATAGGTTGAGGATCGACTCAGCCGAGCGTTTCGCGTTTTTATTTATGTAGCGCAATACCCAATTTCGCACAAAAACCAAATCTACATTTAGGATGAAAAAGATAGATTCATCACTCTTGGTAAGGTTACACCGAAGTATTATAGTTACACTGAAGCATTCAAAATAGCTCATGCACGTTGAACGTGCCTATGTTAGTTGTTTTGTTCGTTGTAACAAGCTTAATTTGAAATCGCTCACCTCGATCGTCTTTCCTTCATGATCCACAATGTGTTACATTTCCTTATGAAAAGAGCCAATCCATTTGTTGAGCTATTTTGAAAAAATAGCTCATATGTCAGTGGTGTGAACGTATGTATCTTTGTGGCTTTGCTGTGGCTTTGTATCTTTGTAACTTTGTATGTTCGGATGTTTGTTGCAAGAGCCAATAAGGTTGAAGGTACTATGAGTTGATGCTTAGGAACCAATGAGATCTTGGCATCTACTTAAACATGACATTGCTAAAGAGCTCTAAAGGTCGAACAAGGGCACTTTGAGACCGCCATCTTGATTCTTGACAATTTTTTCGTCGTATATTACGGCTACAGGTGTTTGAAAACATTATATTAAACATCTTCATGATTCAAACGCTGTGTACAGTGATGCAGCCGTTTAAGGGTTCATATTTTAGTGAGGATGCTATTTCAAGACATTTCTGACCGAATTCAGCTATCGTATACCTGCCAACTTTTTCTGAGATATAAGCGTGAGATTTTTATCCTGGGAGTGCTGGGATTTTTGAAGACGACACGATCATTTCCGAAGATTCCCGAAGAAGTCCGAAGCCTTCCGAAGACGTCCGAAGTCTGCCGAAGTCTGCCAAAGGCGAGCTCGCTCCCAGTGCTTTTCACTTCAAAAATCAGAGATCGCGAGGAAGGTATTGCCATTTATTTATTTTACACATGGTTTTCGTTCCTTACATGGGTCTGAGTTAACATATTTTTGGAAATTGTGTCAAGCAGGACGGCAACAACTCACATTTTTCAATCAGGCGTGAGAAATTGGCCCGCAGGCGTGAGCCGGCGTGAGATCGAAGTTTTCAACCCGCAGGCGTGAGACTCACGCCTAAGGCGTGAAAGTTGGCAGGTATACTATCGCGAACGGTACTGACGCACGTATTTATGAGTTGTGTTTCACCTGCTTCAAGGTAGAGTATAAAAGATCATATATTTTCAAAGCTCTTCCAGTGAAGCAATAATTGATATTTAGATATGGACTTTAATTTGAAAGTATGCGGCATATAAAATGTGGTTTTACAAGTTTGAAAGGCAGCTTATTTTTTTTAAAGATGCACCGAGTATTGTTAATCCTGTAAACAAGCTTTAAAAATATTATTCTCTCGCTTACAAAGTTAATAAATGTTAGGCTATCAACCTTGACGTTGCATGAAACATAATTTAATTGCAGATGTTGTAATGAAGCCGAGGTGATTTCTTAAAATCGTTGAGAAAATTTTGTAGTAAACAATTTGCGTTTTTTTTACGTACGAATTGTAAAAGGGCCAAAGGCCAACATCTTCACGTGCAAATTGTGTGCATGAGTTATTTTAATTCTGTTTACTAGATTAACGTGTGATAACTCGAATTCCCTCACGTACGAACCACGTAAGGGGGCAAAGTCCAACACTTTCACGTGCCAGTTGTGTGACTGTACGTCTCATGCAGATTGGCTTTTTACAATAATAATAGTAACTTGAACGTACGAAGACCTGTTTCGTTTTGTAACCAATGCCTTAAAAAAGGCTCTATTCTTTTAAGAAGCAATAGCTTTTAAAACATGAAGAAATAAGTTGTTGGAGTTAAGGACTGTTTCACTGAGTAGAATCGCACGTGAAAACCTCTTGAATTGTGATGACGCAACCATCTACCACAATGATAAGAATCCTGGTATTTCTTAACTACTCGAATTCGATGAGTCACATTTTGGCTTAAGAAACTCCGAGGAAACCTTAGAGTTTTCCTTCTAATCAACGTTTGGTGAGTAGATATTTATTTAACTTTAATAATTTGTTGAACTTGCACCAAATGTAACAGGGAAAGACAGAGGAAAGTGAATATATAGCATGAGGATCGACGCAGCTGAGCGTTTCGCGTTTTCATTTATGTACGGCAATACCCAATTTTGCACAAAAACCCAGTCTATATTTAGGACGAAAAAGGTAGATTCATCATTCTTGGTAAGGTTACACTGAAGCATTCAAAATAGCTCATGTACGTTTAACGTGCCTATGTTGTTTCAGTTGTTGCTGAATTGTTCAATGGCGTACGAATTACTAGGCAGGGCAAACAATCTTTGAATCTTGCAAGTGCCGCGGAGTGTTCTCTGTCCACTAGATCGATCTGTTTCCCATTCGTTGAGAGCTGGTCAAAGCAGGGTTATTTTTTTGCTAATACTTTTTCACTCTCTGCTTCAAAAGCAGCAAAAAATGTTCTACAGCCTTTTTCAATCCAAACTGGATGCAGAAAACGTTTGAATATTTTCCCCTTTCATTCAAATAATCGTGAGTCGTTTGAGGAATGGAGATGTGTAATGCGATCTTCTGGTAAAAGTGCTGACCAATAAGATTAAGGTCTTGGATTTCTCCAGGGAATTACCGATGGCGTGTGTCTGTCACGGAATGAAAATATTTAATTCCATGCTTGCAGAGGTCTCTCCTGTCTCTCAGGTAGGAAAACAAATTGAAGTGATCTGAAAGTCTTTCATTTTTAGTACATTGCTGTAAAAAATTAAGTTACAGCGGTTTTTTTATTTAAAAGAACAGGAAGAACAGGAGCTGATGAAATCATAAGAAGGTCTTCGTTTTTAACATGAGATAAAAGTCTAAAAAGGAAGCAACTTCAAACTACAAAGGTAGCCACAACATCGGTAATTAATTAATGTAAGTGTCAATGAAAAAAAAAAAAAGAAAAAAACGAAGCAAATCCAAACAAAACCAAAAACAGCATACTAAAAGGTGTACAATAATCGTGTTTGATGATTTAGCGATACCATTTTCACCAAGTTCTTTTTCGTTTTATTTGTATTAATCATCTAGCTGACCCTCGCACCTTTTAGCACTTTAGACTTTGAAAAATATTGCCATCTTTCATGATTTATGGAGTTTACTGTACTTGGCTACATTGTTACTGCCCTTTAATTATTATCCATTGTGTGAACAGAAATAGACATCTCGCAGTTCTGCAGGAACCCGGTTACTGTCAAATGTACCTAACACAGCCATTCTGCATCCCTGTCCTAGTTCTTCTGCATTACTAGGTAGCCCTGTCTTAACCCTGTTACGGTAACTGGATATTTTCACAGCCATGTAACAGGCTTGTTACACTTAACTATGTACACTTTTACAGCCCTGTCACAGCTCCACTTGTTTTAACTCACAGCCCTGTTACAGCCAGTTTACAGCCCTGAAATAACGTAAACAGGGCTGGAAACAGGATTTCACAGGGCTCTCACACGGTTCTTGCAGGGTATGATTTTTTCTAAGGGTGAGAATAAGGAACAACTAGTTCAGCAAATGAATATGATATAATTATTATATACCTCATGGCTACTCTTTGTTCATCACTGAAATGTAAAGGTACAGTAATAACAGCATCTTCAATGTCATTTCCACCATTAGCTTGAGCAATTTCTAAAAATAACACACACTTACTTGAAGAAACACATGTTAAGTATATTGCACAATAAACCTTTTCAATAAAACGAGGTCAATTGATTTTGTCACTTCCAGTCATGGGTCACTGCCTTTATTCACAAAAATGCGGGAATGATCTTTTCTCTAATGGTGGAGTAAGATTTTGCTCTTTCTACTGAGGCCACAGTGGTATGTAATCAGAATCAAATTTCTCTTTTCTCTTTACAACATTCATTTTCACTCAATGGGATTAAGGTGTTTTGATACAGTTTTCAGAGGCCATACCGATATTTTTCAATCCCCTTAAAAGTGGTCTTCCTTGTCTGATCACTTTAACATTTTCCCCAGTAATTGGCTATGGATTGAAATTTGTGAAAATGCAGTTTAAGTAAAATCGATATAATAAACAAAAAAAAACTTGGAAATTGATAGCCTGCGTAGCAGGCGCTTGGAAGTAGTGGGTACAAGAAAAAACGGGCACGCGAGAAGGAGACATGCAAGGGGAGAGGTAGCCCCGGCAAGGAAGGCACCCGAAAATCGTTTCCGCTCCCTCTCCAATTACCTGGCAGCCGTTCGGTGATCTGTCAAAAGTTTTGACAGAAAACAACTGACCTCGCACAAACAAAGCGTGCTGCCAAAAAGCATTGTACATAAATTTTTATCTTTGGTCTAAATATATCTGTTATGAAGATCAGATGGGTTATCTGATTATAGAGCGATGGAGCAACAAACTGATGGTTAACACACAGCTTTAAATCGCTTTTAACCACAGGCACAATAAATAGGAGATAACAAAGTCAAAACTGGGTATCTCTTAAAGAATGCATGCTGTGTATCATAAAAAACTAAAAATATTGTTCTCTACGCAGGCTATCAATTTCAAAGTTTTTTTTGTTTATTGTTGTCATAGTAATATCGATCTTACTTAAAACTGCATTTTCACAAATTTCAATCCATAGCCAATTACTGGTGAAAATTTTATAGCGATCGGACATGGAAAAAACCACCTCTAAGGCGACTGAAAAACTAATATCAGTATGGCCTCTGAAAAACTGTATCGAAACAAGTAAGAATTAAAGCCAGGATCATTAAACTGCAAAATATTCACCAAACTGAGAGTGAATATACAAATGAAAGGGGAAAAGGAAGGAGATTCTGTGGGAGATAAGAGAATGAGGATTAACATTGTGCAATAAAAACCTACAATTATTGTTCCTTTAGAGGGAACAAGATTCCTTACCTAACAATTTCTGAAAAATCATCCTAACAACATCTTTAGGAGAGAAAAACCTTGGTTTTTCATTCACTACCACCTCAAATGTAGGCTCTCCATCTTTACAAACAATCTGATAACAAAAAGGAAAAATGAATTCTCAAATGTTGACACAGCTGTTTTACCAGAAGCCAGACAACACTCTATCAGGCAATCAGTCAGTCAGAGAATAATTATTCTTCCTTCACTTGCACTACACAGAAGATACCATCTTTGGAGATCCAAACAAATTTCAGAACTTGACTGGTAATTTCTGCTTATTCTCGTTAGTTCAAGCGTTAGGATAAATTTGTAAAACAGTCTAAATCAAGCACTGAGTACATACACGCAGGCATTTTTAGGGGAGTTGTATTTCTTAACTCCTCACAAACACCTGCTTGCCCAAGACCAACATTCCTTTCTCATTGTTATATTCGCATGGTAATGTGACCAATCAACAGTAAGATTATTCTTATCATTACCCACAAATTCTGTATGCCTCGCAAGAAGTCAGTGATACATGTAGCAATATTATTTCACATTATTGAATGTCAATACAAGTGCTTTTAGCGTGATGCTTATCTCAGTCATCTGCTGCAAGAGAGTTAAAAATGTTTTGGAGTTGATCTTTGTCGCTTGATAGAGTCGGCAGTTGGTGAAAATGTCAGTAGATTTCAGAACCTTGGATCCTAGTTGTTTACTTAAACACTCAATGCCACAAAAGGCTGTTCTAATTATAAAAGCAAATAAAGAAGAATTAAGAGGGCATCAAAGGGAAGATATGTAGGATTTACAGGGGCGGATCCAGGGGGAGGGTGCAGGGGGTGCGCACCCCCCTGAGATGACCTGCGGTTTTCTAATACAGCTGGTATTCTGCAAAAAAAAAAACTATGTGGATTATTGGTGTTGAAGTAGAGCAAGAGACGAGTGCACCCCCTCCTAAAAAAAAATCCTGGATCCGCCCCTGATTTATCAGTCAGTTAATTATAGAAGGGTAAATCAGCAAATTGCGAATAAAGTTGTTGAGATCGGAGGTAAAAACATCACATGCCAAGCAACAACAAAGTGAACTTCAGGGGCGAAATCTCTGAAGTTCATTTACTCATCTAGTTAATGTAGTCATCTTGACACATTGCTTTTTAACATACCGTATTTACCCGTGTATAATGCGCACTTTTTTCCCTGAAGTCGACCTTCTTCAGGGTGCGTATTATACACGGGCGCGCATTATACACGGGTAAATACGGTAGGCCTTGTCAACATAGCTTTCCTACCAATGATATGGAACTTAACACGTCTTAAGTACTCAATCATTACCCTGGAGTGCCAAAAGTAACTGAATACCCTGCTTTCTCCACAGAAAATAAAAAAATTTTTGCTAAAAACAGCATCTCTACTGGACCCTTTTGGTAAAAGTTATAACTGAATAAGCACCCACCTACCCTGGCCATTATTGCAAAGAAAACTGTAGTGCAAAAAAAGAGGAGGATATCACAAGGAAAGCCTCTTTCTTCTCTTACAGTTATTTTTTTTACATTTTGACTACAGTATGCCAATATCAATGTACAGTTAGAGAAAACATTAAATCTGTTTCAGGTATTTCATTGTTCTGCTTTCAGAAAAAGAAGATTTAATTGGAAAATAACCTGTTAAGCACCTTGTTTCCCCTCTTAATTGAGTACCCTTCTTAACCATTTCACGCCACGAATTAAGTGACCAAAGTCAAATTTTGTAAAATGCTGAAAACCAACTGGCACCATGCATGTTAAAGTGTTGCCAAAGAGGTTTTGTTTAATAATAATAATAATAATAATAATATTTATAGAGGGAGCCCAACTCGCCAAGGCGGTTTTCAGTGGGGCCCTCATGCATTAATCTAACTAATTAATTAATAATTACGAAAAAAGTAAAATATGTTTACAAGTAAAACAAATTTAAAAATTTAAAATCTTAAAATCGATTATACAAAAAAAACATCAAGGTTTAAAATTAGCTGAGATCTTTTAAAAAGTTTTTAACTTGGATTTAAAAAGATAAAATAAATTACACTCTTTTAAATCATTTGGAAGGCTGTTCCAGTCTTCGCGGCGTGAAAAATAAAAGTTTGTTTACCCCAGTTTGTTCTGGGTAGGGGTAGCGAATATCATTAGAGCGTCTTGTATTATATGAATGAACAGCTTGACTTTTAGTAAAATTAAAGCTGAAATCGGTTTCTCCAATAAGACACTTGTGGATTGCAATGCAGCGATGAAAAAACCTTCTTGTGGACAGTGACTTCAAATCTAGACTTTTCAGTGCTTCAGTTGACGAGCTTCGGGTGGTTGCCCCAGCATAACTTTAGCAGCTTTATTCTGTAGAATCTGTAATTCTGACATGATGGTGTCATTGTTTTTGTCCCCCATATAACGTCTCCGTAATCAAAAAAAGAGGGAGGATTAGGGCATTGTACAAGGCAACTCTAGCTTGTAGCGGCAATAGATTCCTGATTCTCCTAATTAGGCCTATTCTCTGATTAATCTTCATGCTGATAGCATCGACGTGATCTGCCCAGGACATAGACTGTTGAAGCGTTACGCCTAGGTATTTGAATGATTGTGTTCTTTCAATGCTAGTGCCCTCTACTTTAACCGAAATGCCTTGAATACGATTCAGTTTCTGAGGACTTCCAAAGATAACAAAATTACATTTGGATATATTTAGTGTCAGGAGATTTCTAGAGAACCACTCAGACACTGTCTCCAAGTCAGCATTGATGTGATGTTCAAGATCACTGATGCTTTTGGATGAGTAATAGAGTACAGTATCGTCTGCATAAAGAATAATATCGCTTGCCAGGTGACAGTCCGGAAGATCATTCACGTAAATTAAAAACAATAAAGGTCCCAATATACTTCCTTGGGGTACTCCAATAGGCATTTCGGTAGATGCAGAGTGAGCATCTCCAACTGATGTAATTTGAGATCTGTTTGTGAGGTACGATCTAAACCACTGGGTGGTAGAGGTGGTAAGACCGATGTGCGTCAATTTTTGCAGCAGCAGGGGATGATCCACTGTATCGAAGGCCTTATCGAAGGTCCAGTTTGGATGGTCACACCATAGGATTCATCCACATACTCAAAAGTTAGAATCACCTTTTAATACAAGACTGCATCATTCATTTTGGTAGTGAAAGGTTTATACCATCCCCAATTAAAACTAACATTTAGTGCCAATGTGCTTTTTGTAAGATGACTTTTTGGAGTCACTGATGCAGCTGGGTGAAAATTTACAGCTAAAACACCTAACATTGTGGTCACTATTTGTTTGGTTTTTGCCTCTGATGTTTGTAGAATAATTAAAGCCACAGTTTTATTTACCTTGCAGTCAGATATTTGCACCTCTTCTTGAACTACATCGGCAGAAAACCTATTTAAACATTGGAGAAGAAATTTCAATAATGTATTGAATGGCTTCCATGATTCTAACAAATACAATCACCCTAGGCCAGGGCTGTCAAAACGTTTTTAAGTAGCAAGTTCAAGGCTGCTGCCTAACGAGCGCCCGGGTGCTACAATTTACCCTTGGGTGAACAAAATTTCAAACAGGGAGCCCGAACAGGCACCTAAAACTTGTGTTTCTCAGGCTAACTTCCAGTGAACAAACAACAAAATTCCCCACTCATTCTGCCCTTTGAAACGGCAACGGAAAACATTTGATTGTCGGCTATATGCAAAAAAATATTTCTGCCCAAAAAAGGTAAACACACAGCACTATGTCTTGAACCTCCGCATCACAGCAGTTGAAGTTTCTCGTCTGAAAATGGTGTCAAATAAATTTAATAGTCTTCGAAAAAAACTTTGATGATAAAATCATGACTTTTCTTTCAGCGTTACAAACGTTAGGTCACTACAACATGAAGTAAAAACGTAAAAAAGTAAAAAAGTCTCAATCCATGGAAAAGTTTGTAGTGTTTTCTATCTTGCTACGAACACGAATGGTACCCTCGGAGGTTTCTTTTATCATTATTTTATTCAGTGTTATCTACGCCTCCCTATTGTTTGCTGTACATTTTGTGGTAACTTTAGAAAAACAAGCAAACATTTCAGTTGTTGAAAGTGGCTATTCAAGATCATATTTCAATCTCTTTTTAATTCACGCAGTCACGTGCGACGCACGTAAATACAAACCTTCACAAATATAAAAAACAGTGCAAAGCTGACAGTTCAAACGATAGACTTGTTACTAAAATACTGAGTTAATTTTGTAAACTTCCAGATAAAAACCTATCGTTCATCCTTTTTTACCACCTAAAAACTTAATGCGCAAGTGTTGTTGGTCGGTGCTTTCACTGTACGTGCAAGTGGTGATTGTTATGTTTCGAGAAGTAATTCGTTTCTCGAAAAGCTTTCGAGTGGCGAAATATAAAAATGCTGTTTCTTGAAACTCGAGACTCAGTTTTTGCATTTCGAAACTTGATTTGTTCGAGGCTTGAGTATTGTTCCGGTTTGTCTTTTCACGGAACACTCCTTAAGCCTTCCCGACTTATATAGGAAGATTGACGGACCTCTGCTTGCAGGGTATAAATTGATATACAACAACTTCTTCAAAGATAGATCTTTCCAGTGATACCTCGTTTTGGATATTCTGACCAATCCTGTAAGAGTTACACTCACGAAAAAGGTAACATTTTGGGGAATTTCATTGTTTTCAAACTACTCTTTGAAGACTAAATTTGCCACTTTCCTAAAAAGTTAGCCAGCCACAATTCCATGCAAAAGAAGGACGATAAAGTGGGCAACAAAACTGCTAATAATCAAGAACGGCAAAGGAAAAAAGAGAGCGAGAGAGAAAGATCGAACTAGATTCGCATAAAAGGACCAGATTTTGGCTTTTGCACATGCATGAAAAACAAATAAGCTGTTTAACTACATCAGATTAGTTGAAAAATATGCCTTTTTTCTTGCACAACTCATTTTTGGCCATTTTTATGGGAACAATGCCACCGAAATGTCCCAGGAGAGCCTCGACATCACACGGTTCGAACATTTCACAGATCAAAACCTGTTTGAATATGCATCCAATGTCATTCAAAACTGGGAAATGGATGCTTTACAATTTTTCATTCTGTAGGGCTTTTTTTGTTAGCAGTTATGGTAAAGGGAGATGAAAGTAGCTGGCGGTTTTGGCCAGCTACCGGCCATTATTGACAGCTCTGCCACCCCTTATTAAGCAGCCAGTTATCAAAATCCCCAAATCATTTTCAGTTAACCCATACACCCCTGAGCTGCACATAGCCGCCCATGCAGATCCATGTCCCTTTTAAGACTTGTTACGTCATCAGTTTTAATGGTCAAGGACTACTTTGTCCGCTAACTTGGGCAGAGTGAAGAGATCTTTCAAAGCACACCAAAATGAACACAGTTCAGCCAAGGACACCGGAGAAAAAGGCAAAAAAAAACTATGTGAAAATTTCCATGAAAATCTTGTTCCACTACCCACCTCCCTTTCCTTTCATCTAATCCTAAGATCCTAAAAACTTTCCTAAAAACTTTTCCCACCAGAATGAAGCCTAATAAATGCCTAGCAAAAGAAAAAAAAAAGGCGAGAAAAGTGAAAAAGAGAGGAGGAGAGAAAACGAATAAGTAAAAGTCAAGATTGCTGTGTCACTTTTAACCCAAACCTCAAAATTTTGCTTTCTCCACATGCCCGAACTTTGAGGGCTAATATTTTGCATCTAGATCAGAAGGCAGCCAAGCGACAACCTGTAAATGACTTTGCAGTAAGTTTTAGCTCTTTATAGCACAACAGTGACCAGAAAACTGCTTGACTAGCTTCAAAATGCATTTTTCGGCACAATTTCCAGGGGCAAATGGGTTAAGCATAGCCTAGCTGTTCCAAGCGTTCAGATAGTGGAGAGCGGTGCGAAGTAAAGAAAGCGATGAAAAGTAGAGGGGGACTGGGGAGAGAGGTGCGGGAACGCTTGTAAGAATTTTTAACAAAATTGCGTTCCGGTATACCAGATCCTGGTATACCCTCTGATTGGTTGATTTTGACAGTTTTTGTATACAGTGGAGTGTCTTTGATCACAGCGAGAAATGGGATATGGCGGTGATGACAGACTCTACGTCCCGTCACGCAGAATTGGAACTCGCAACAAACACAGCGCTGAGTGACTTTCCAAACATGGAGGCTAAACGGGGAGAGCAAAGAAACTGTTTAAAACACGCAGTCGGCAGGATAGATGTCTTCGCAATTTCACCAACTGGCTTTGGGAAAGCCTTATTTTCCAGCCTTTTCCTCGAATAAAGCATGCGTTGGAATGAAGGCAGGATAGAATGCCATTTACGATTGTTGTGGTAACTCCGTTGATTGCCATCATGAAAGACTAAGTAAAACATTTGAACAAAATCGGAGTAGCGGCGGCAATGATGGGAGAAGATGTGGACAAGGCCGTTAAAAGTGGAAGCTGTGAAATTGTATACTGCAGTCCCAAATCGTGGCTGTCTAAGGAATGGACAAAAGGACTTCACAAAGGAAAGCTTGGAAAGCAAGTTGCAGCTATCGCTATTGACGAGGCCCACTCAATCACCGAATAGTAAATTTTCCCTTCAATTGTTGTGCATTTTCATTGCTTGAGTCAACGATCTGTATTGAAACGACTTCAGTTTCTATCGAAATGAGCGATATTTGTTTGTCACTTGATTCATAATTTTTTTGTCATGTACACGCTGAAATCATGTTTTAAAGCCGTAAATAAATTGATTGTGCATGAATACTTCTCCCGCTCTGTATTGTCTGAAAGTCTTAAATTAGGTTTTTAGTTATAAGATTACGTATACATTATATTAATTTTTGATCTGAGAAATTTCGATTTATTCGCAAGAAAAATAATAAATGTGTGGGGCTGTAACACCAGTCTTGATTGATAAGTGAAGACCACCTACAGCTGATGCGGCCTGAGTGGGCGAATGAGTCTATTTAAAACAAATCTTACAGGCGTTCCCTCTCTCACCTCTCCCCCTTCCTTGCTTTTATTTTTTCGCGCTCCTTTTTACTTTGCACCGCTCCCCACTATCTGAACGCCTGGAACAGGCTAGGTTAAGCAAAGTACCAAGCTTTTAGAGAAAAATCCACTTTTCAGCATAAAACAAACAAATCTGACCATTCAAAAAGTTTTAAAATCAGGTGGAAAAATCGGCAAAAGGAGATTTTTAGGTTTTTTGATTAAACACTGTAAATAAAACCCCTATTAAGTGGCCACCCCTATTAAGCAACAGCAGCCACCTTTTGGTCGTCCCGATGATTCAAGATTCTTTGTTGTTTTTACCCCTATTAGGCAGCCACCCAAAATTAAATACATGTGGTTTTGCTTTATTTTTGATAAGGCGATGACAGATAAGAATCCAAAACAGTAAGTGATGAATAATAAATATATATTTTCAACACACGTTTATTGTTCTCTTTACGTGATTACTAATTACTCTTTACGTGTTTAGTAAGCAATTAAACCGATGGTAAAAAATACTCAAAATATAAATGCAGTGTAAAACTTTACCTGGTTCATGTTGAGACCTGGCAGGATTCTCTAAAATTGATTTTGTGCAATTTTTAAACGTTAAAAACAAGAAAGATACCATTGAGAATCTCAAGATTAAGAATAACTTTATAAAAGAGATACTTTCAATCTGGGCGGAAGTCAATTTTGATGAAAACATAACGTCCGACAAACAATTTCTTGAACAAACTTTATGGCACAACTCACTCATTAGAATCGATAACTGTCCCGTCTTCTATCGTGAATGGTTTGATCGAGGCGTTACGAAAGTGAAACATTTGAAAGATGAACAGAACAAATTTTTATCACTAGCTGAGCTGCAGCAAAAATACAGCCTCAAAGTTTGTCTTTTAAAGTATTTCGGACTAGTGTCTGCTCTAAAATCTCTTTGGACTACATGTAAAACAAACTGCATCAAAAACTGCAACAATTATGAAACCTTTGTAGTAAGATTAACAGAATGCCAAAGTGCGAGCAAACTTGTATACACCAAGTTGCTTTCTACAAAATGCAAGTTACCATCCCATAATCAACAGAAATGGCTTAAAGACTGCAACGAAAATGATGTGGAGGTGATTAATTGGCGGGAAGCCTACCAGTTGGCCGCTAAATATACTAAAAGTACAAGAATGATTGAATTCCAATATAAATTTTTACATAGACGAATATCAACGAACGACTTCTTAACAAAAATTGGCGTAAAAGACAACCCAAATTGTTCTTTTTGTAATAATGAACCGGAGAAACTTCTTCATCTTTTTTGGTCTTGTCCTAAAGTGGCCTTTTTCTGGCATAGTTTATCTCTTAAGCTGACTTTGCTCCACATTACACCGGAACATTACACATTAGATATATTTGTTGTACTTGGTCTAAAGCCGGATTCTTCAAAAAACTGCCAGCAGATTAATTTCCTTTTCCTTCTAGCCAGAAATTACATCTGGATTAGCAAAAGAAGGGAAACCTCGCCAAAGATAGCTGGCTTCCTGCAATACCTCAAATCATTCTACCACATAGAGACCACTGCAGGTCCCATTTTACCAAAAAAATGGGAAAATGTGAGCTCCTTATTTCAGTAAGCCTTTGATTTTGTATACATTTGTATATCTCGATCCTCTGCTCATTTTCTCCAGCATTAACCTGGTGTATCTTTAGCTTCACAATCGCTGCCTCTTTAAGACACTTAAGATATAAGTGCGTTTTTATAAGTGCGTTTACCGTGAATAAATGTTGGTTTTGAAGTACAATTACTAATTAGAACTGCTTGTAAATAGTGCATTGTAGTGTGAGTAGTGAGTAGTAGTGTTGTAAGTACTGAGTATTGTAAGTCTTTACATTGTAAACAGAGTAAGTACCTTAGTCTATTGTATTCTAAATATTGTATTGTAAGTAGTGTAAGTATCGTAGTGTTTGTAAGTATTTTTGATTGTTGATTGTTGATTGAATAAATGTTATTAAAAATAAAAAATAATAAAAAATAATAATAAAAAAAATTTTTTAAACGTTTTATTTTTTGCAACAGATGTCTAAAGCCTTTAAGCATGCTTGCATTTGAATAAATTGATGTTTCAAGTAAAAAATTAATTTCAGACCAATTCCTGATGAACTCATATTAAGCGAGCACCCGCAACCCCTATTACAGTGTAAGCAGCCACTTTTCATTACCCTGAGGGTGGCCATTTAATAGGGGTATGACTGTAGCATAAAGGGCAGGTGTCCAGGTATTTTGTGGTCAGCCCTGTTACTAATTACAAAAGAAGGTTTCTTATCTTTAACCAGTTAGAAATAACCTACAAAAAAAGATACTAAAGATGACTTAGGATCCTAGTCTGAGAAAACAGCACCGATATTTCATGACACCACAACTGGTTCCTTCACAAAATAATATCTGAGGAACAAGTGCAGAAATTCCATATTGACGACAAGTCACTACCCAGACAAAATATCCTTGACATCTGGGTTAGCACAGAGAGTACAGTTTTAAATCTTAAAGGAGAACCAGACTGAAGAAAATCCTAAAGTCGATCGACGCATGACACGACCTAACCTAACACTTCTATTTGAACCCAGGCCTTTTCGAACGATCTTTTCCACGTGCGGTAGGACCGTGCGGTTGATATATGTGCAGGTAATTGTAAGCATATTACTTTCACTTTACTTTTCATCGACAAAAAGCTAATTAAACTGAAATATATGGAAGGCCGTATTTTTTTATGAAAAGTTATCCACCAATGTCAGTGAGTCAGATAAAGATGGTTGGTACTTCATAAATACCGGTACTTTAGAGAATCTAACTTTACTTACCTCTTAGAAAACACGTATGAGTTCTATTGAAAACCGTTAAACCTTAGCAAATTATCATTAGTTATCACCTATTTAAATGAATGAAAGAAACTAACAAATCAAGGTTAAGATGAATTAATGTGATCCGATCGTGTGTATAAAAGCTGAAGCGTTAAATGGAACCGTCATTCGATCATTGATCACCGTCCCAGGACAACTCAGAAATCTATTACCGTAATCTACGCAAGCGAAAAACCAGAATGGCCGACAACTGTATATTTTGTAAACAACCAGTAAGAGACAGACAGCAAGGCATCCAGTGTGATGGCTGCCTGAAAAGGAACCATCGGACATGTAATACTGGTAGGTAACATGTAATAATTTTAAACTTATTTTTCCTAAGATCGGAACAGTATTTATTGGAAACTAAATTCAGTAAATTTATTGACGATTGATCTGCAATGGACAACAGGGATCTTTGAAATTCAGGCTATGGAATCTTTATTCAAGGTTTTACTTCTGGTGATACTTGACTGTAATGATTGTAACAGTTTCCACATTTCGGACTCTTTTTCTGATAGATATGTCTTCTTCTGATTTCTCACAGGTATTTCTCAAGAAGACTATCGCGCTGCCGTAAGAGCCGGTGCAGATATCGTTTGGTTTTGTCCGTCCTGTAGCCGTCCTGATGCAAACGCAAACTAGCCAGTTAGAAAGGAACTGAAAACAGTTCATTTATTAAACGAGCGATTCGAAGATATTTTAAATCGGGTAATTGAAGTTCGTTTACACATTCGGGGCTAATCGTCTAGATAATGGGGGTTAATTGTCTGTATACTGGGGGCTAGTTGTCGGGGGCGAATTGTCTGGGGGGCGAACTGTCTGACATTCCCCAGACAAGGGTGCAACTTCTGATTGGTCATGCTTTTAACTGAAAGTTCCTTTATACTAGAAATTGAGTCATTTTATTCAACACTACTCCTAATGAGTTTATGATGGGCCACCTGTGCTGGTACATAACAAAATTACCTCAATCCAACTATCTTAAATGCTCTTGCCATTGTATTCTTTGAGTTTCGGATAAGGCCATGTTTAGCAGGAAGGCCAATGGACTGAAAAAAAAATAACGTCATAAGATTAAGATCATGATGATCAACGAAATTTAAAAGTTGACAAACAATCCTCTTGAAAAGCTTACAAAAGTGCTTGATGAAACAAACACAATGTAAAAATCAAACTGAAGATAGAAAATTAAGGACAGTCACTGCAGTTTCTTACGAAAAAATGGTCAGAAAAGTTATTTCATTCGGTCTTATATCGGTTCTAGATGATAAGATGTTTTAGTACCCTTTATTAACTTCATAGCCTGCGTACAAACGTTTCCTTTTTCCACTGTCCCTTTTCTTCAAAGGAAATTGGAAACGTCCGTGCACATTAGCTACTGCAATTGACTTCATGTCATCATTGCTTGTCATGAACAGGTGAAACCAGTGTTACTATAACTATTTCTAAAATCAACCAAGTCCCTTTTCGATGCAATAAGAGCATTAGCTGTCTCTATGTATCGTCTCAAATATCAATACTCGGACATGTTTACAAATAGGAACATCAAAATAAGCTTACCTTTTCTTTTCCTAAGCATGCTACCAGGGCAGGAGTCACTCTATCTCCAGCATCATTAGTTAAGATCTCTGTTCTTCCATCCTTAGAGATAATTTCAATGACATAAGTTGTGAGCTTTTTAAATGTAATTAGCTTAGCAAGCTCAAATAAAGCGACCCTCTAGACCTTGTGTAAAGCCAAGGAAGCACTTGTACTTCCGAGATGAATGCCAACCGCCGCCATGTTGATCGACGAGTAAAACTGGAACTAACTGGAAGAACGCTAGTTTCCATATCTCAAACCGCCCTTGGATACCTTGTGATGCCTACACAAAGTAACTGCATATATGTATACATATATGAGGAAACGAAAGGAAAATTTATTATTACCAAAACGTAAACAACTTTCCACGTTTTCAATGTCCCGCTCACTAATTTCATTTGCCCTGCAACTTGCAATCTTAATGACAGCCTTGTGCATCTAACTTTTACATCATCAAGCCAAGCCATCATCAAGCGTTCCCGTCACTAGCAAACTAATGAATTCATTAATGGCAAAATGATTTCGTTTGTTGATTCAATAATCCATTCATAAAATGAATAATCCAACAATCAAATTGGACCTCGATTCAATAATTAAATGTTGATTTGGTTTATTAACAAAATCTACCTGTTCTTTATTCTTGTCTGTTGAGTTCAATCGTATTTGCTTCCCTTTTCCTGCCGTTTACGACTGCGTTTGTAATTGCCTTTATTCAAAATAACAGCTAGAAGAGACAGACCGCAAACGCAAAGAAACTGACAAAGGCCGGGGATCGAAATCCACCAATCACCGCACATACACCGACCTTAGTTTCACTATCGTGTTTCCTAAGAGGTCAGGTCCGTTGCAGTGAATACTGGAAACAAAATGACGTACATGTAACAGTTTGTTTGGGTTTGAAATTCAGAACTCGCCCGAACTGAGGGGGACATGGGGGTTTACGGTATTGCGGTAATGGGCTTTTTTTCATGCGGTATCTCGGTAATTTTAATTTTAACGTGCGGTATTGCGGTATCATCTAGCTCCGCGGTATGCGGTTTTTTAACATTTTGGCTGACGGTATATTCGGTGAAATAAGATTGTTCACGGTATTACAGTACCGTTTATTTGCGCTTTCCTTTCGATACAATACACAAAACAAAACACATTAAGACATAAAGGTCAATAAAAGTTAATATTTAGAAGTCTTGAGACATAACAGTAAATGATTACACCATTTGTGGGTCATTTTGTGACAGTTAATGTCGATAATATACAATGTGATTGTTGTTGCATCCAATGATAATGAGTCGTCACAAGTTACCTTACCAGGCTTGTCGATCTGTTTACCTGTGCCGGTAATTCGAGGTTTTAAACGTTTTCTCACAATGTCTGAGGTCGCTGAGGTTGAAGACGGCGTGGTCACCATTGACTGTGTGGCAATTTTTTATGAAGAGGGCGAAGGAGGCAAACTTTATCGCAACAAGAATAAGTTTAGATGTTGGGTTTCGAGAATTGAAAAACGCCTTGTAAAGTTAAAAGAGAAAAATTGGTAA